AGAATATTATGAAAATTACAGACAAAAAATTTGAAAGTTCAAAGGAAATAAACAGGTCCCCTAGGGGGAAAACATGTACTTACCAAAATTAAATCAAGAAGAATACATCTGATTGGAACCACAAGAGACCCTGAATAGCCAAAGCAATCTTGAGAAAGAAGTCAAAGCTGGAGGCATCATACTACCTGATTTCAAACTATACTGCAAAGTTATAGTAATCAAAACAATATGGTATTGGCATAAAAACAGTCATAGAGATCAATGGAACAGAATAGAGAACCCAAAAATAAATCCACATATATATGGTAAATTAATTTATGACAAAGGAGCCAAGACTACACAAGGGGGTTAAGACAGTCTCTTCAATAAATGGTGCTGGGAAAACTGGACAGCCACAGGCAAAAGGATGAAACTGGACTACTATCTTATACCGTGCACAAAAATTAACTCAAAACAAATTAAAGACTTGAACGTAAGACCTGAAACCATAAAACTCCTTACAGAAAACATAGGCAGTAAGTTCCTTGACTTTGTCATTGGTCTTTGTGATGAGTTTTTGGATCTGACACCAAAATCAAAGGCAACAAAAGCAAAAACAAAAACAAAACAAAAACAAAGTGAGACTACATCAAACTAAAAAAGCTTTTGCACAGCAAAGAACTCAACAAAATGAAAGGCAACCTTATGAATAAGCAAAAATATTTGCAAATAATCTATCTGAAAAGGGATTAATATCCAAAATACATAAAGAACTCATACAACTCATTAGCAAAAAAAAAAGCACAAAGAATCCAATTATAAAGGGGGCAGAAGATCCGAACATTTTTCCAAAGAAGACATAGAGACACACAACAAGTACATGAAGATATGCTCAACATCACTAATCATCAGGGAACTGCAAATCAAAACCACAATGAGATATCACCTCACACCTGTTAGAATAGCTATTATCAAAAAGACAAGAAATGTTGGCTAAGATGTAGAGAAAAGGGAACCCTTGTGCACTGTTGGTGAGAACATAAATCAGTACAGCCACTATGGAAAACATTGTGGAGATTCTTCAAAAAATTAAAAATAGAACTACCACATGATCCAGCAATCCCACTTCAGGGTATTTATCTGAGATGAAAACATTAACTGGAAAAGATACATGCACCCTCAAGTTTATCATAATATTCTTTACAATAGCCAAGATATGGAAACTATGTGTTCATTGAAGGGTGAATGGTTAAAGAAAATATTCCATTGTGATTATACGTACACAGTGGAATATTATTCAGCCATAAAAAAGAATGAAATCTTATCATTTGCAACAATATGGATGGACCTTGAGGACATTATGCTAAGTGAAATAAGTCAGGAAAAGAAAGACAAATATTGCATGATATCAATTGTATGTGGAATCTTTAAAAAAGAAAAAAAATTAGGCACAGAAAACAGACTGGTGGTTGCCAGAGGCAGGGGCTGGGTGATGATAAAATGGAGGGGTTCAAAATGTACAAATTTCCAGTGATAAAATAAGTCATGGGAATGTAATGTACAGCATGATGACTATAGTTAATAATACTGTACTGCATATTTGAATGTTGCTCAGAGTAGATCTCAAAAGTTCTCATGTATGGTAACAGATGTTAACTAGACTTACTGTGGTGATCAGTTCTCAATGTATACAATTATCAAATCATGTCACATATCTGAGACTTATTTATGTCAATTATACTTTAAAATTTAAAAAGAAGAATTATAATCATTAAAGGCATTGAATTAATTTTTTTTAAAGCACCTCAAAAAAAAAAAAACCCTATGCTCTGATGGCTCTACTACCAAGTCTGCCAAAAACTCAAAATTCTAATATATTACAAATTCTTCAAGAGAAGAGAGAGAGAGAATAGTTTACAACTCATCTTAGGAGATGAAAAAAACCTTAATAACAAACTTGATGATGAACTATGAAGACAGAAAATATTATCCAAATCTTTTTTATAAACATAGATGAAAAACACTAATGTTAGCAAACTGAATTCAATGACACATGAAAACTTTGCTAAACCAGCTAGTTCAAGACAACACAGAGAAACCAGTACAGCCACAGCTCTAAGAGCCAAGATAGCAGGAGAAGGGAAGCTAGGTGAGGTGAGCTGGGCATTCTCTGCACCTCTTTCTCCTAAGGGCATTGGTCAACTTACTGCATGGGACCTAGAAGCCAAACAGAATGCAGTGTTCTAGAGCTTTAGGCATTCTCTCAGAGACGAATAGACACAAGCTGAAGTTCAAAGTGACAAGAAAGTTAGGGCCTGCTGGCACATGATACCAGAGAAAAGGGAAATGCAGAAAAGGGAGCCTGACATTCTGCTGGGCCTTTGCCTTTAAAACATTTGCACAACCCTAAGCTGCATGAGAACAGGAGTTGCTCATTTCATCCAAAAATTCACATTATTGTTTACTTACTTTCATTTTTGAAAGATACTACCACTGGGTATAAAATTGTGGGTTGGAAGTTATAGAACTATAAACTGCTAAAAGAAGACATCTACTGAAGAAATTCAATCCATTATTAAAAATCCTCCTACAAACAACAAATCAGGTCCAGAGAATAGAAAAGACCTTTTTTTAAAAAAAAAAAAGAGGACAGAAATACCTTGATTCCAAACCTGGCAAGGACATTACAAAAGGGGGAAATTATCACTCTGTTATGAATGTAGATGCAAAAATCCTTAATAAAATATTAGTAAACTGTGTGTGTGTTAAAATATAGTGAGTTGATGTGTGCTAGGATGACAAGAAGGAGGTCATTTTAGGCAGAGAAGATCAAGTTCAAAGCTTAATGCATGAAACAAAGAGGAACAAGACAACATAGAGGAAGAGACAGATTTAACAGATGTTTAGGGTGCATAACCAATGGGGGGGCTTGGTGAACCACCAAAGCAGGGTGGTTAGAGGTAGGGAAGAGATGGCTCTAAAGATTTTCTGGTTTAGATAAGAGGGAGAATGGTGTTCTCAGAAAAATGCAGGAGGAAAAAAAACATGTCTTAGAAAAACTCTAATGAATTTCATTTAGACACATCAAAATCACCCCCCAGAAATTCAGAAGATCACCAAGTTCAGTCAATTCTACCTATCTCTTATCCACACAGTCTTTCACACTTTGGTCACATCTTCTCTGGAACACAGCTGTCCAATAGATCTACCTGCCTCTCATTTGGCTCCCTTGTAACTTCTCCACACTGCTGCCTAAGTGATCATGGTAGTGACCACTGCAGATGGAATGGTTCTGTGTGTGATGCAGCTTTATTGGAAATCAAAATAATGAGCAGAAGCTTAATGCATTCAGGAAGGTAGGAGGTCTGACCAGTGAGCTGGTAGGGGCTAACCGCTATTGCCATTTGTCAACTGAAGTGTGCAGTATCAGTTATACATGTTAATTTACTTTTTTCCCTCAGCTTCATTGTAATATAACTGACATAACCTTGTGTAAGTTTAAGGTGCATAACGTGATGATTTGGTGCATGTAGATATTGTGAGATGAGAGTAATTTACATTAGTAATTCCCAAATAATACTAGAAATATAAGTGCTAATTGGCACCACTGCCTGAAATGACTTTTGAATTGTTTTTTTGTTTTGGGGGGGTGCCTTTTCTGCCTTAATTTTTGTTTTAGCTTCTTATTTTGAAGTAACTATTAATTCATATGAAGCTGCAAAGATAGTACAAAGAGGTTTATACCTTTTGCCCAGTTTCTCCCACTGGTTACTTCTGCAACAATATCAAAACTAGGAAATCAACATTAATATAGAATGCGTGTATAGTTCTATGTCATTTTATCACATGTGCAGATTCATGCAACCATCCACGATCAAAACATAAACTATCCCATCACTACAAAGATCTCCCTCAAGCTGCCCCTTTGTAGTCACACCCACCCCCTTCCCGCCCATCATTCCCAACCCCTGAAAAATGCTGGGTTTTTTAAAACTTTGTTATATAGGGAAATGATTGAAGGATGCACAAAATATTATATGTTGTAATACAGTAGCTCATGCTTTAACACAGAGCATCCTTTGCAGCTCTCTTTGCTTCACCTACACAACTTGCACTCTCCCCCTCTCAACTAGCTCACATCACGTGTTAACTTCTCCCTTTCTTGATATACATGCTCTATATTCACAGCACGTATTGTCTATACCACTGATATCACTGATAATTTAGTCACCCATTCCCTTGTGAAATCTTAAATAATTCTATCACAGATCAATATAACTTCTTAAACATGTGTATTTTTTTTCTCCTTCAGAAGATACTGTTATGTACTGCTTATTGAATCCATTGCCAGGGCCTAGCAAAGATGAAAACAATGAGTATTTGTTAATTAAAAAAATATTTTTACTAGGTACTACTATATTTTTATAGCCATTTTCTTTAGAAGAGCTTAAAATAGATTACAGATGTTACCCCCCCCCAAAATCCTGACAGTACCTCTATGCAGTTCATCAGCATTATTATTATGTTGGAACCCTAGTACAGTACCCGGTTTAGACATTCAATCAATATTCAGGTGACTGAATTATCCTATGCTCAAAATTAGGGAAATTAGGGGCATTAAATAAGATTAGTAATCAATACTGAATCCCCAATTGTTATTAGAAAAGAGGCAATGGAAGATTAGAAGAGAAAATGGAGCTGGAACGGGAGCAGAAGAGAAGTAAAGAGATTAAACAGGACAAGTACACTCAACACATTCTGACATGTTGTGTTCTGGGCTGAAGTCTCCATTGTTGAAGCAAAGTCTGATACAATAATTAGATTATGGAAGAAGGAGGAGGTAATGGGAAGGGCTTGAAGCTCCTGAGTAATGCTCCACTAGTAAAGCTGAGCAGCTTCCCTGGCCCCTCACAGCGGGACCCAGGAGTGGAGCTAATAATCCCACCCACTATTGTCTATCTACCAGATCACTTCACTACGTAGTAACTGAGATTTAAACATGAAGACAAATAACTACTTACATGAGAGGCTGTAGACCAGGTTAACTGGCAAACAGGTCCAGGAGTAGTAATATAACCGATTGGCTTATAACCCCTTTCCACTTCAAAGAAGAAGACAGTTTGATCTTTACTCTAAGAAAAAGAGAGATACCGAAATATATATTATTATGAAACATATTGCATACAGTACAAAGAAGCATTTAACAGCTATATTACACCCACTGTATACGTATACCTACAATGATCATATTTCCCCAGGTTATTCTGGGAACATTCCTGTTTCAAATATTTGCTTCATTATCCCCATGAGAACACTTGACAAACCATGTTTTCTTGTATGTGTTTCTGAAAAGATGCTCACCATACCTGTATATAAGATTCACAAAAAATTCCACAATGCATATGCTCACCTATTTATGCATAAAGCATTTACATGTTTATTCTCTTCATTTAGGCCAATTCTATATAAGAACATACCTAGGTTATAAAACATTGATTATACGTAAAACATGTTGCATGATTCCCAGTTGAACATTTCTATTCATTTAAAATAAGCATTACAACTCAATTTGTAAGAATATTTTTAAATGTCATGCACAGACTATACTGAAAGAATCTGAATACAAAGAAAACAAAATAGGGATATATTCTCAGAAAGGAATATAAGCAAATAAGGCATCATTAAGTAGGAAGACTAATAAGGCAGGGCGAACCAGGAAAATTCAATAGGAAACACAAGGAAATCTACTACTTACCCCTGTGGCTAGAACTTCTCCATCACGATCATAAGCTAAAGCAGTGACAGGAGAAGTATGAGGTTTGAAAACCTGTTTCAAACGAATATCTGCATCTGAAACTCTCTTCCGTCCCACAAAACTTGTGAGCCCTTCTGGATCATAAAGTTCAAGAATTCGAACAACGCCATCTTCAAATCCTGCAGTAATCTGTGCTCCACCGTTGCTTACCTTGGACAAAAAAGAAATGCAAGGTTTCTGAAATTTGTTGATTAAGAAAGCTGTACTACATAACAGATTTCTGTGTTTTATTTAGACTTAAATTATTTAACTAAATAATTAACTAAAATAAATGCTAATCAATAATTCCTTATACTACTTTCTGGTAACCTCCATCTCTTCTATGACAGTTCCTTATCACTGCAGACCATGAGACAGGTAAACAATGACAATCCAAGCATTCAATGAGCAAAAGTTGGTGGAGCGTCCATCTACTATGTGCCAGGCACCCATCACCAGCAGCCCAAGTGTGAGCATAAACAGTCTCAACCTCTGTTTTCACAAATGTATGGTCGAGTGGGAGGACTGACATTAATCAACCACACAAATGAATATGGAATTATGAACTGAAATAAGTAAAAGGAAATAAACATTCTGAGAGCACATAGCAAAGAAAGCTGACCTAGTCTGCAGCTTAGAGGAGAAGTCTGGGCCAGAGATATAAATCTAGCAATGTCTTAATGTACTAAATCTGCTATCTCAAAAGGCATTCAGGAGAAGGGCAAGAGCCTTGGTATTCTTTAGAGCAGACTGATCATCCCTGAAGCCAGGCAATTATGAAAACCTTGGGAATAAGAAAACTATATTCCATTCAATTCCAACTGAATGTTTATGCAAACATTTACTAAGTGTCTAAATGTACCAGTAACTGTAGAGGCACTGGAAGTACAAAGAAGAGTAAGATATGGCGTCGCCATGAAGAACAAACAGTCTGGTGGGAAAGACAGTCAATAAAGCAAGTCATCTTAGTACACTGTGATAAGTGCTATAAAAGAGGTATATACACAGTCCTTAAACAAAAACCGCAAAGGAAGAAGTACACAGCTCTACTTGAAGGTGGGGTCCTGGAGGGCTATGCAGAGGAGATGATATCTGACCTGGGCTAAACTGTAAACAATGATGTGCAGTTTTCCAGAAAGGCAAGAGGGTATGGAGAAGGGGCAATTCAAGCATAATGTCCATATGATCATTACTTGGATATAAGGCTAAAAAAGGAAACAGTCTATGGACATTGCCCAAGCATCTGAAAAAATGATTCAATTACATAGGCTGTATTTTAAAGAATTTAGGTAAGAGTGTAAATAGATTAGGATAAAGAGTGATCCATGTTTGGTAATCTAAATACTCTGTCATTTCTACTTAATCCAGCCTCATCATTGTTCTGCTTCTATTCCCTGGCCTGAGTTCTCCTTCTGGTCTTGATCCCATCATGAAATTCCCCTCCATTCCAGCCACCTCCACATCTACTTTGGGCCTGGAACATTTTCTCTTTGACTTCAACCCAAAACAATAAGGATAAAATATTCCCCAAATATTCCCATGACATTTTTAAAACTTGGCTGCAAATTTTTTGCTATGCCTCTCATGGAGAGGTGGGGTTTAAGTCCCTCCCTCCTTGAATCTGGGTGGGTGGGGGGGCCTGTGACTGCTTCACCCAACTGAGTATGGTACAAGTGACGTTATGTGACTTCCGAGGCCAGGTCATAAAAGGACAGCAGCTTCTGCCTTATTTGCTGGAACACTAGATCTTGGAGCCCTGAGCTGCCATAAAGAAGTGTGTGACTGCCCTGAGGCCACCATACTGTGATAATGACCTCTCCATGTGGAATGGGCTTCAGGTAAGCACTGCTGTTGACATCCCAGCTTAGCTTAACCTTCAACCCAGGTGCCAGACCTGTAACAAAGAAGCCTTCAGATGACTCTAGGCCCCAACCATTCAAATCTCCCCTACTGAGGCCCCAGATACTGTGAAGCAGAGATAATCCATCCTTGTTGTCACCTGTCCGAATTCCCAAACCAGAGACTGAGCAAAATAAGATGATTGCCGTTTTATGCCACTACATTTGGGGTAGTTTATTACACAGCAATAGACAACTAGAACAATGATCTCTAATTTTTTCCATAGCTCTTATCATTATCTAACATATCACATAAATTTACTTATTTTGTTTTTTGTCTGTCTCTGCCTCCTGTCTCCCACTCTAGTGGGAGATTCATGAGGGCAAATATTTTTTTTCTTTTTGTTCATTGCTATATTCCCAGAATCAGGACTGGCACGTTGCAAACATGCTGGAAATGTATAGAATGAATGAATCAGAGTGAGGCAAAGGACAGATACACAAAGTTCTGTCAGGTAATTACTTTTTTTTTTTTTTTTTTTTTTTTGCGATACGTGGGCCTCTCACTGTTCTGGCCTCTCCCGTTGTGGAGCACAGGCTCCGGACGCACAAGCTCAGCGGCCATGGCTCATGGACCTAGCCACTCCGCGGCCATGTGGGATCTTCCCGGACCGGGACACGAACCCGTGTCCCCTGCATCGGCAGGTGGACTCCCAACCACTGCGCCACCAGGGAAGCCCATCAGGTAATTACTTTTTAACATGGAAATATTTCTAAACTTTAGGTGGCATAACAACAGATTTTCATTAAAACAGAACCAAAACCACGATAGCAAAGTCATGATATGATTTCTATCACATTCTGAGTGAACTAAAATTTTTGTTCTTCTCTAAAATCCAGAGTCAGAAAATATCTGTGTTTCTAAGAAACAGCACTAATATACCATATTTACAAATAGATTCTAGTAGAAATTCATCATAACAATAAGCTTACCCGTCGTGGTACCCAAGCAAGGGCAGTACCTCCTTGTTTGAATTTCATCTGAACCAAAGGAGTTTTGCTAGCAAAATCATAGAGTCTAACAGAGCCTACAGAAAGACAGTTTTAAAAGAAACATGTATATATATATATAAATATCTTTAATAACTTTAGCTCACTTCACATTTAAGCACTAAACAAGAAACATCATAAAAATTAAATCAACTGATAATCTAATGGCCTTTCTTTAGTTAAAACTTTACATGTATATCCTCAATCAGGTAATTTATAAACATGAATAATGTTTATATGCCATTATATATATATATATATACTATGCCATTTTATATAAGGGACTTGAGCATCTGTGGATTTTGGTATCTGGAGTCCTGGAACAAATCCCTACACAGATACCAAGGGACGACTGTAGTAAAGAAACAACTGATGATTGACTGGTGGATCAATTTCACCTTGCACAGTCCACATAGATTCACTGTAAGTCAAGAAGGAAGAAAGGAGATGGAAAGAAAGGGAAAAGCATGAATGTGGATAACACCAAGATGAATGGTATTTTCACGAGTAACTTACTGATGTGTCTTTATTTTAATCTCTTGCAATAACCATGGTTGCCGTATTTTGGGCCCTTTCCCCTCTCCTGAAACTCACCTCACTTGCATCAAAAAGCTTCCCTTTTGGAAAAATTCTCAAATACTTTAATCAAACACATTAAAAAATGAATTGAAAACAAAACACAAAGGTCCAGATATGAGTTCCTACTTACAGTCCAAGCCAGTAGTGGCCATGAGATAAGTGAGAGGAGAGACGGCCAAGGCTTCAATGGCTCCAGAATGGAAGGAGAAGAGGCATTCTGGATCTTGGGTCTGATAACAAAAAAAAAGATCCTATTAGAGCTCAAAGATAGGTAAAAAGATCCTATTAGAGCTCAAAGATAGGTTAACACAGAACTAAGGCCAAGTTTAAAGAAATGCAATTAGAACCCTGTATCATGTGTGACTTTATCTGAACAGAAATAAGAAAAGGCATAGTAAGATAGAAAGGGCGCTGAAGTTTGGAATTAGGGGAGACAGATGATGCGCTTGATGGCTGTGTGATTTGGCACAAGTCACTTCAAATGCCGGTTTCCATTTCTTCATCAGTAAAATGAGAGGATGGCAACTGCCTGCCTACAAAACAGAGTAGTTGTGAGGATTATATGAGATAATATACAATAAAATGCCATGTTTATGAAAACTGTAAAGCTTTGCCACTTTTCTTGTAAATTCTGTTATGAGATAGATCCTCTTTTATGTAAAGTCATAACGAGAGAAAGAGACAGAGACAGTAAGAATTCTTTGGATATGCTGAGCAAGTTTTTGATGACAACAATGATCAAATATGGAAAAAGAGTATCTTTTAAAGAATAACAACAAAGGTCTTTACTATGAGAATTAGAAAAAAAGAAAAATAGGCAACTTACAATATTTGAAAAGCTAAGGTCAAGCTTCCATATGGCTCCATTGGAATCCTAAAAAATTAAATACCTAATAATATTTTCTTCATCGTTTTGGACTTTTATCAAATTAAAGGAATTTTTTTTATGATTTAGTTAAAGGACAAAACATACCAAAAACTTACATATATTGTAAAGTGTGACTGAAATTAAACAATAGCAACTTTCATGCACCTTAGAACACAACGACACAATAAATGAAGCAATCTCATAAAACTTATAGTCAATTTAACATAATAAAAATGCTAATTTGTTTTCTGTGTATAAAATACAAGTCAATTAAATATCAAAATTCAGGGAACTCTTCATTGTAGTATCAACAGTAGTCTTAATAGTACAATGGATTTACAGTGACCATAAATTATACTACTATTTTAATTTTATGTCCAGATAACTTTTTTTTTTTTGGCCGTACACAGGCCTCTCGCTGTTGCGGCCTCTCCCATTGCGGAGCACAGGCTCCGGACGCGCAGGCCCAGCGGCCATGGCTCACGGGCCCAGCCGCTCCGCGGCACGTGGGACCCTCCCAGACCGGGGCACGAACCCGTGTCCCCTGCATCGGCAGGTGGACTCTCAACCACTGCGCCACCAGGGAAGCCCCAGGTAACTTTTTTAAATGTATTTTTTTTAAGTCTTTATTGAATTTGTTACAGTATTGCTTCTGTTTTATGTTTTGGTTTTTTGGCCATGAGGTATGTGGGATCTTATCTCCCCGACCAGGGATCAAACCTGCACCCCCTGCATTAGAAGTCAAAGTCTTAACCACTGGACCACCAGGGAAGTCCCAATGTCCAGATAACTTTAAAGAGCAAAGAGAGAAGAGTGCATCTTACCTGAGACAACCAAAAGTTATTTCCGATTTCATTCATTTTTATCATAGAGAAGAGTCTGACATTCTTGTCTACTTGAAGTTCATTAATGGGCTCTATCTCTAACAATCCAGTCTCGTCTATAGTATCAGCAGTGTCTATTGTCTCAAAATCCCATATCTTAAAAAATAAGAAAATACTTTAATCAATCAGCAGTTTCTGAATATATATTTTATAAGCCAGAAAAGGCCCCATTTTTTGTTTGTTTGTTTGGTTTTGTTTTTTTTTTTGTGCGGTATGCAGGCCTCTCACTGTTGTGGCCTCTCCCGTTGCGGAGCACAGGCTCTGGACGCGCAGGCTCAGTGGCCATGGCTCACGGGCCCAGCCACTCCACGGCATGTGGCATCTTCCCGGACTGGGGCACGAACCCGCATCCCCTGCATCGGCAGGCGGACTCGCAACCACTGCGCCACCAGGGAAGCCCCTAGGCCCCATTTTTTTTTCAAAAGTCATTTCTTCTTGTTTCAGGAAAATAATGAGTAGGTATAAATTAAAACACCAGACAAAATCTAACCCTGGGATTTTGCTCTGAAATGGGAATAATGAATTATTATAATTTCCTTTGTATTTATGGAGATTAGTGAGAAAGTACAGACCTGAATAAGAATTCTAATTTGCCCAAAGTAAACTTCATTTCAAGGTTTCTGTCAGGCCTTACTGCATATATAGCAGCCGCAAGGAATAAATGGTTCAGCCATACACTGAGACATCATGACGAGCCTCGTCTTACATTAGATTCGTGGGCTCCTGGAGAGGGGACAGAGACTTTCTTGCTTAATGATTCAAGCACTATCTTCATTATAAGCAGAGAAAAATGGATGTAGGGAATGTCTTCATGAGATAATGTTTCTGTTCCTTATCATAGATTTAGACTGTCCTATTCCGATAAGGATTGTCGTTCTTGCGATAGGAGACCAGAATAGTACTAGGGAAGGATGAGGGAGCACAGTTTCACTTTATGTGGTGAAGAGACTCAGAAGGACTTCCTCTGTGAAGCGCCGAAGGCCAGCCTGGATGGTTCTGTAGCCACATCCTGCTACGTCATCCTAGACTCAACAACTCAGACTTTGGGAGGATTGGTGGTGTCCCACAAAGTAGCATTGTGGAGGAGAGTCCCAGATCCTAGGGTCAGACTAACTCCTGGGAGTTGGAGTAGGTTTTTCCTAGAGGGTGAGAAGTAGAGATTTACAACATAGAGGACTGAAGAGATAAGGGCAAACTTTGAAAGGGGAAGCAAATTAGTGATGTCCATGAAGGGATCTTCTGTGAAGTATTTAACTTCTCTTCTCTTGAGGTTTTCCTCCACTTGGTATTTTGACATATTTGGGGGTGACATATGCCTTGGAAGGATACTGAATATGTTGTATGACATAATAAAGGACAAAAGATTCTCAGAGCAATGAGTAAAATAGAACAAAATTAAATTTAACATGACTCAAAAAGCCAATGGTAAGAGGACAAACTGTGGAAGACATGTCTCTAATATATTGTGTGAGCCATACATAAACTCAGTAAGTATCAGAGTAACCATACTAGTAAAAAAAATAATAATACAGTCTCATTTCTGATAATACTACTTCCTAAAGAATGTCCGGAGAATACTCCCTTTTATGAATATTTTCTTCTGAAAGGCCCCAGTAGAAATACATACTGTGGGGACCACAAGGCAAATCAGAAGACTGCAGTTTTGCCAGCAACAGCAGGGTACCTACACATGGGTAGGTGGGAGAAGAGGTGTGACAACAGCCAGAAGGATGGAGATGCAGAAGCAATGTCCCAGCTTAGCCCACACTATGGGCAGGACAGTGTCCACAGGTGAGGACAAGCGAGTTCACTAGTGCACAGAGCACCAGGAAGGGAGCATCCATAGGCAAACTCTATCAGCTCACCTTTGTATTTCTAATCGGTAAACTCAGTAAAAAAACATCTAACAAATGTTTGGCCTCGTTGTCCCTAGAAAATGACCCATTCATACCAGGCATTTTGGAAGGACATCTGAGTCCACTCTTAATACTGTGCTACCATGGGACGAGGGGAAGATGGCGTAAGAATAAGACACGGAGATCACCTTCCTCCCCACAGATACACCAGAAATACATCTACACGTAGAGCAGCTCCTACAGAACACCTACTGAATGCTGGCAGAAGACCTCAGACCTCCCAAAAGGCAAGAAACCCCCCCACGTACCTGGGTAGGGCAAAAGAAAAAAGAATAAACAGAGACAAAAGAATAGGGACGGGACCTGCACCAGTGGCAGGGAGCTGTGAAGGAGGAAAGGTATCCACACACTAGGAAGCCCCTTCGCGGGCGGAGACTGCGGGAGGCGGAGGGGGGAGCTTCAGAGCCGCGGAGGAGAGCACAGCAACAGGGGTGCGGAGGGCAAAGCGGGGAGATTCCTGCACAGAGGATCGGCACCGACCGGCACTCACCAGCCCGAGAGGCTTGTCTGCTCACCCGCCGGGGCAGGCGGAGCTGCGAGCTGAGGCTCCGGCTTTGGTCGGAGCGCAGGGAGAGGACTGGGGTTGGCGGCGTGAACACAGCCTGAAGGGGTTAGTGCGCCACGGCTAGCCGGGAGGGAGTCCGGTAAAGTCCGGAGCTGCCGAAGAAGTAAGAGGCTTTTTCTTCCCTCTTTGTTTCCTGGTGCGCGAGGAGAGGGGATTAAGAGCGCTGCGTAAAGGAGCTCCAGAGACGGGCGCGAGCCGCGGCTAAAAGCGCGGACCCCAGAGACGGGCGGGAGACGCTAAGGCTGCTGCTGCCGCCACCAAGAAGCCTGTGTGCGAGCACAGGTCACTATCCACACCCCCCTTCCGGGGAGCCTGTGCAGCCCGCCACTGCCAGGTTCCCGGGATCCAGGAACAACTTCCCCGGGAGAACGCACGGCGGGCCTCAGGCTGGTGCAACGTCACGCCGGCCTCTGCCGCCGCAGGCTCGCCCCACACTCCGTACCCCTCCCTCCCCCCAGCCTGAGTGAGCCTGAGTCCCCGAATCAGCGGCTCCTTTAACCCCGTCCTGTCTGAGCAAAACACAGACGCCCTCCTGCGACCTACGCACAGAGGCGGGGCCAAATCCAAAGCTGAGCCCCTGGGAGCTGTGAGAACAAAGAACAGAAAGGGAAATCTCTCCCAGCAGCCTCAGAAGCAGCGGATTAAAGCTCCACAATCAACTTGATGTACCTGCATCTGTGGAATACATGAATAGACAACGAATCATCTGAAATTGAGGAGGTGGACTTTGAGAGCAAGATTTATGATTTTTTCCCCTTTTCCTCTTTTTGTGAGTGTGTATCTGTATGCTTCTGTGTGAGATTTTGTCTGTATAGCTTTGCTTCCACCATTTGTCCTAAGGTTCTATCCGTCCGTTTTTTAATTTTTTTTCTTAATAATTATTTTTTAATTTAATAACTTTATTACATTTTACTTTTTTTTATTTTACTTTACCTTCTTTCTTTCTTTCTCTTTTCCTTCCTTCCCTCCTTCCTTCCTCCCACCATCCCTCCCTCCCTCCTTACTTTCCTTCTTTCCTTCTTTCCCTTCTTCCTTCCTTCTTTTCTTTCTTCCTTTCTTTCTTTCTTTCTTTCTTCCTACTTCTACTAATTCTTTCTCTCTACTTTTTCTCCCTTTTATTTTGAGCCGTGTGGATGAAAGGCTCTTGGTGCCGCAGCCAGGAGTCAGTGCTGTGCCTCTGAGGTGGGACAGCCAACTTCAGGACACTGGTCAACAAGAGACCTCCCAGCTCCACATGATATCAAATAGCGAAAATCTCCCAGAGATTTCCATCTCAACGCCAGCACCCAGCTTCACTCATCGACCAGCAAGCTACAGTGCTGGACACCCTATGCCAGCAAAACAGGAACACAACCCCACCCATTAGCAGAGAGGCTGCCTAAAATCATAATAAGTCAACAGACACCCCAAAACACACCACCAGACGTGGACCTGCCCACCAGAGAGACAAGATCCAGCCTCATCCACCAGAACACAGGCACTAGTTCCCTCCACCAGGAAGCCTACACAACCCACTGAACCAACCTTAGCCACTGGGGACAGACACCAAAAACAATGGGAGCTACGAACCTGCAGCCTGCAAAAAGGAGACCCCAAACACAGTAAGATAAGCAAAATGAGAAGACAGAAAAACACACTGCAGATGAAGGAGCAAGATAAAAACCCACCAGGCCTAACAAATGAAGAGGAAATAGGCAGTCTACCTGAAAAAGAATTCAGAATAATGATAGTAAAGATGATCCAAAATCTTGGAAATAGAATAGACAAAATGCAAGAAACATTTAATAAGGACCTAGAAGAACTAAAGATGAAACAAACAACGATGAACAACACAATAAATGAAATGAAAAATTATCCAGATGGTATCAATAGCAGAATAACTGAGGCAGAAGAACGGATAAGTGACCTGGAAGATAAAATAGTGGAAATAACTGCTGCAGAGCAGAATAAAGAAAAAAGAATGAAAAGAACTGAGGACAGTCTCAGAGACCTCTGGGACAACATTAAACACACCAACATTTGAATTAAGGGTTCCAGAAGAAGAAGAGAAAAAGAAAGGGACTGAGAAAATATTTGAAGAGATTATAGTTGAAAACTTCCCTAATATGGGAAAGGAAATAGTTAATCAAGTCCAGGAAGCACAGAGAGTCCCATACAGAATAAATCCAAGAAGAAATACGCCAATACACATATTAATCAAACTGTCAAAAATTAAATACAAAGAAAGCATATTAAAAGCAGCAAGGGAAAAACAACAAATAACACACAAGGGAATCCCCATAAGGTTAACAGCTGATCTTTCAGCAGAAACTCTGCAAGCCAGAAGGGAGTGGCAGGACATATTTAAAGTGATGAAGGAGAAGAACCTGCAACCAAGATTACTCTGCCCAGCAAGGATCTCATTCAGGCTTGATGGAGAAATCAAAACCTTTACAGACAAGCAAAAGCTGAGAGAGTTCAGCACCACCAAACCAGCTTTACAACAAATGCTAAAGGAACTTCTCTAGGCAAGAAACACAGGAGAAGGAAAAGACCTACAATAACGAACCCAAAACAATTTAGAAAATGGGAATAGGAACATACATATCGATAATTACCTTAAATGTAAATGGACTAAATGCTCCCACCAGGAGACATAGATTGGCTGAATGGATAGAAAAACAAGACCCATATATATGCTGTCTACAAGAGACCCACTTCAGACCTAGAGACACATACAGACTGAAAGTAAGGGGATGGAAAAAGATATTCCGTGCAAATGGAAACCAAAAGAAAGCTGGAGCAGCAATTCTCATCTCAGACAAAATACACTTTAAAATAAAGACTACTAGAAGAGACAAAGAAGGACACTACATAATGATCAAGGGATCGATCCAAGAAGAAGATATAACAATTGTAAATATTTATGCACCCAACATAGGAGCACCTCAATACATAAGGCAAATACTAACAGCCATAAAAGGGGAAATCGACAGTAACACATTCATAGTAGGGGACTTTAACACCCCACTTTCACCAATGGTCAGATCATCCAAAATGAAAATAAATAAGGAAACACAAGCTTTAAATGATACATTAAATAAGATGGACTTAATTGATATTTATAGGACACTCCACCCAAAAACAACAGAATACACATTTTTCTCAAGTGCTCATGGAACATTCTCCAGGATAGATCATATCTTGGGTCACAAATCAAGCCTTGGTAAATTTAAGAAAGTTGAAATTGTATCAAGTATCTTTTCCGACCACAACGCCATGAGACTAGATATCAATTACAGGAAAGACCTGTAAGAAATACAAACACATGGAGGCTAAACAATACACTACTTAATAACAAAGTGATCACTGAAGAAATCAAAGAGGAAATCAAAAAATACCTAGAAACAAACGACAATGGAGACACAACAACCCAAAACCTATGGGATGCAGCAAAAGCAGTTCTAAGAGGGAAGTTTATAGTAATACAAGCCCACCTTAAGAAGCAGGAAACATCTCGAATAAACAACCTAACCTTGCACCTCAAGCAATTAGAGAAAGAAGAACAAAAAAACCCCAAAGCTAGCAGAAGGAAAGAAATCATAAAAATCAGATCAGAAATAAATGAAAAAGAAATGAAGGAAACGATAGCAAAGTTCAATAAAACTAAAAGCTGGTTCTTTGAGAAGATAAACAAAATAGATAAACCATTAGCCAGACTCACCAAGAAAAAAAGGGAGAAGACTCAAATCAACAGAATTAGAAATGAAAAAGGAGAAGTAACAACAGACACTGCAGAAATAAAAAAGATCATGAGAGATTACTACAAGCAACTCTATGCCAATAAAACGGACAACCTGGAAGAAATGGACAAATTCTTAGAAATGCACAACCTGCCAAGACTGAATCAGGAAGAAATAGAAAATATGAACAGACCAATCACAAGCACTGAAATTGAAACTGTGACTAAAAATCTTCCAACAAACAAAAGCCCAGGACCAGATGGCTTCACAGCCGAATTCTATCAAACATTTAGCGAAGAGCTAACACCTATCCTTCTCAAACTCTTCCAAAATATAGCAGAGGGAGGAACACTCCCAAACTCATTCTACGAGGCCACCATCACCCTGATACCAAAACCAGACAAGGATGTCACAAAGAAAGAAAACTGCAGGCCAATATCATATAGATGCAAAAACCCTCAACAAAATACCAGCAAACAGAATCCAGCAGCACGTTAAAAGGATCATACACCACGATCAAGTGGGGTTTATTTCAGGAATGCAAGGATTCTTCAATATATGCAAATCAATCAATGTGATAAACCATATTAACAAATTGAAGGAGAAAAACCATATGATCATCTCAATAGATGCAGAGAAAGCTTTCGACAAAAATCAACACCCATTTATGATAAAAAACCCTCAAGAAAGTAGGCATACAGGGAACTTTCCTCAACATAATAAAGGCCATATATGACAAACCCACAGCCAACATCATCCTCAATGGTGAAAAACTGAAAGCATTTCCACTAAGATCAGCAACAAGACAAGGTTGCCCACTCTCACCACTCTTATTCAACATAGTTTTGGAAGTTTTAGCCACAGCAATCAGAGGAAAAAAGGAAATAAAAGGAATCCAAATCGGAAAAGAAGAAGTAAAGCTGTCACTGTTTGCAGATGACATGATACTATACATAGAGAATCCTAAAGATGCTACCAGAAAACTACTAGAGCTAATCAATGAATTTGGTAAAGTAGCAGGATACAATTTAATGCACAGAAGTCTCTGGCATTCCTATACACTAATGATGAAAAATCTGAAAGTGAAATCAAGAAAACACTCCCATTTACCACTGCAACAAAAAGAATAAAATACCTAGGAATAAACCTACCTAAGGAGAAAAAAGACCTGTATGCAGAAAATTATAAGACACTGATGAAAGAAATTAAAGATGATACAAATAGATGGAGAGATATACCATGTTCTTGGATGGGAAGAATCAGCCTTGTGAAAATGACTCTACTACCCAAAGCAATCTACAGATTCAGTGTAATCCCTATCAAACTACCACTGGCATTTCTCACAGAACTAGAACAAAAAATTTCACAATTTGTATGGAAACACAAAAGACGCCGAATAGCCAAAGCAATCTTGAGAACCAAAAACGGTGCTGGAGGAATCAGGCTCCCTGACTTCAGACTATACTACAAAGCTACAGTAATGAAGACAGTATGGTACTGGCACAAAAACAGAAAGATAGATCAATGGAACAGGATAGAAAGCCCAGAGATAAACACACGCACATATGGTCACCTTATCTTTGATAAAGGAGGCAGGAATGTACAGTGGAGAAAGGACAGCCTCTTCAATAAGTGGTGCTGGGAAAACTGGACAGGTACATGTAAAAGTATGAGACTAGATCACTCCCTAACACCATACACAAAAATAAGCTCAAAATGGATTAAAGACCTAAATGTAAGTCCATAAACTATCAAACTCTTAGAGGAAAACATAGGCAGAACACTCTATGACATAAATCACAGCAAGATCCTTTTTGACCCACCTCCTAGAGAAATGGAAATAAAAACAAAAATAAACAAATGGGACCTAATGAAACTTCAAAGCTTTTGCACAGCAAAGGAAACCATAAACAAGACCAAAAGACAACCCTGAGAATGGGAGAAAATATTTGCAAATGAAGCAACTAACAAAGGATTAATCTCCCAAATTTATAAGCAGCTCGTGCAGCTCAATAACAAAAAAACAAACAAGCCAATCCAAAAATGGGCAGAAGACCTAAATAGACATTTCTCCAAAGAAGATATACAGACTGCCAACAAACACATGAAAGAATGCTCAACATCATTAATCATTAGAGAAATGCAAATCAAAACTACAATGAGATATCATCTCACACCAGTCAGAATGGCCATCATCAAAAAATCTAGAAACAATAAATGCTGGAGAGGGTGTGGAGAAAAGGGAACACTCTTGCACTGCTGGTGGGAAAGTGAATTGGCTCAGCCACTATGGAGAACAGTATGGAGGTTCCTTAAAAAACTACAAATAGAACTACCATATGACCCAGCAATCCCACTACTGGGCATATACCCTGAGAAAACCATAATTCAAAAAGAGTCATGTACCAAAATGTTCATTGCAGCTCTATTTACAATAGCCCGGAGATGGAAACAACCTAAGTGCCCATCATCGGATGAATGGATAAAGAAGATGTGGCACATATATACAATGGAATATTACTCAGCCATAAAACGAAACGAAATTGAGTTATTTGTAATGAGATGGATAGACCTAGAGTCTGTCATACAGAGTGAAGTAAGTCAGAAAGAGAAAGACAAATACCGTATGCTAACACATATATATGGAATTTAAGGAAAAAAATGTCATGAAGAACCTGGGGGTAAGACAGGAATAAAGACACAGACCTACTAGAGAACGGACTTGAGGATATGGGCAGGGGGAAGGGTAAGCTGTGACAAAGCGAGAGAGAGGCATGGACATATATACACTACCAAACGTAAGGTAGATAGCTGGTAGGAAGCAGCCGCATAGCACAGGGAGATCAGCTCGATGCTTTGTGACCGCCTGGAGGGGTGGGATAGGGAGGGTGGGAGGGAGGGAGACGCAAGAGGGAAGAGATATGGGAACATATGTATATGTATGACTGATTCACTTTGTTATAAAGCAGAAACTAACACACCATTGTAAAGCAATTATACCCCAATAAAGATGTTTAAAAAATACATAAAATAAAAACAAATCGATATCTAAAGCAAAAAAAAAAAATATTGTGCTAGGATGGATATTCATTTTCCAAAGCTACTATTGATATATCAACAGAATCAAAATAACAAAAGGTCCCCTCAGAAAACTTCAGTGTCAAGATGTAAATGAATTTTGACTAGAATTTAAATATTTACAAGAGAAGCATTATTTAAAATGAGGTGGCCCTAGGAGTAAATGACCACTGATCTCCTTTATCAAGTGACCTTTGTGAGAAATAAAAATCTGATAAAACCCACAGGGTGATCTGCAAGGTTTTGATGTGGGTGCTACTGTCCAAGTGTAAAGAAAACTTACCCTAACACATCCATCTGACCCGATGGTGATGACTTCACCCTCGTCCAGCATTATCTGGTTAATGGGACCCTGGTGACAAGGCTTGCCTGCAGCTCGACTCAGCTCGACTTTGATGTGGCCACCTTCCCAAAGCAGCATGTTGCCCCATTCTGACCCTGAGAGCACCTGGCAGGTGTGCGGAAAGGAAAGAACGTGCATGAAGACAGACAAACGTGTATATATGCTTCAAAGAGCTGGTGAGACTTGTTTCTAAAGATTTTTCTTGGTTATGAAAGTAAAAATTTTTTTAATTTTTAAAATAATAAGATACAGCTATGAAAATTCACTACCCCAGAAACAACCACTTGTCACATTTTGACATATTTGCCTAGCGTTATATATAGTTTTACCTCATTGTGTATGTTGGTTAATTTTTCAAACATATCTGCAGTAGATTTCTTTGTACATCTCTTAAGGACACAACCCAGGAGTGGAATTACCAGGTCAAAATTTAGAGACATGTTTAAAGTTCTTGATAGATGAAATTCTACTTTTTAAGAGTGATAATATCAAATGTTATGTTTGATAATTGTGAGGTCAGTACTGAACTCAGCAAATTATAGCAGAATATAATTCAATTTCAAATAAGGATGATCATCTAGAACCACTTCACATTAATGCACTTAATCCAGCACTTCCCAAAGTATGTACCACCAAACACTAGTTCTTAAGATGTTTAACTAATATAATAAGTAATACTAATTGAATATTGACTCCATGCCAAGCAGTGCTTGAGCACTTAACATATGTTGTTATTTAATCCTAAAAACCATATGAACTAGGTACATTTACCAAGGATACCATGTGCTGTTGTACAGGTTGGGTACTTTATTTTCCCAGAAGAGACAGTTTTTCTCATTTGCACAAAGGAACCATCTGGGCTGATGATGGGAGTCCTGACTATTACTATCCCCATTTTATAAAGTAAAAAAACTGAAGCACAGAATGCCCAAAATTACTCAGAGGAGTCAGGGTTCTAAACCACGCGCTATGGCTCAAAACCTCCCATTCCAACTAATGCTGCCTCAAAAGACATATGCTAGGAAAAACAAAGTCAAACAAGTTTCTTTTCTCTAGGACCCCTTGGAAGCGTTTTTTTCTTTTTTTTTAAATTAATTAATTTATTTATTTTTGGCTGTGTTGGGTCCCCGTTTCTGTGCGAGGGCTTTCTCCAGTTGTGGCAAGCGGGGGCCATTCTTCATCGCGGTGCGCGGGCCTCTCACTATCGCGGCCTCTCTTGTTGCGGAGCACAAGCTCCAGACGCGCAGGCTCAGCAGTTGTGGCTCACGGGCCCAGTCGCTCCGTGGCACGTGGGATCCTCCCAGACCAGGGCTCGAACCCGTGTCCCCTGTATTAGCAGGCAGACTCTCAACCACTGCGCCACCAGGGAAGCCTCCCTTGGAAGCTTTAATACAGAAGTGTTCACTGGGAATCACCATGAGAAATTTCTAGCTGCAAAGGAATTTGACCAGGAAAGTCTTTTCATAGAGTTTCTGTGCAAAATAATGTTGCAGGCGATGCCCTTTGGGGAACTCTGATCTAATTCTTGCCTGCCTGCTCGAGGACTCTGCAGCCCCATTTTCCTCTCACCTAGAGGAACTTATGACCTTACTCAGTCTTTTCTACTTCTCCAGTCTACCTATGCTTATCTATTCTACCTATTTTACCTATTAAGCCTCAGCCCACTTGTCTTTACTTAGACTTCTTTTTTTCTGTCCAGTAACTAAAACCACCAAAAGTCACCAAAGCCTATAAGTCATTTCTTTCTGAAATGTCACTCATGTCTAGCTTCCCTCTTCCATTTGTCCTGAGAAAAGTCCAGACTCTCATCATCTCTTCTTACATAAAAGCAGTTATCTTCCTTCTGAGCTCATCTCCTTGGCTCCACATTTCCCTTCTAATATGCTTGGCATTTGTGGCCAAATTTATATATAACTTCTTTCATTTGCAACTCTACTCTTCCAGAACCTAATAGTTCCGCCTGGCTGTTCCAGTCCTCATACACTAGGGCCCCACCATACTTCTCAATCTCATTTCCCACTCCTTCCCAACATGAGTACTCCAATTAATCCTCTAAATATGTAATATTTACTCCTAACTCTAAATATTTCCTTTTGTGGCTCTTTCATTTAAAATGGGTTCTTTTCTCCCCTACCTCTACACAAACTCTTCTGAACCTTTTTCAGATATATCTCATACCATGTTTTTAATGATCTTTAGCTTAATTCTTACAGAATTTGAAGCTGGAATGATTATCATCTTATAGGTTTGGATATATAATTTATAATTTAGCCAGCACCCAAGACTTTTTATTTCCTACCATACACCATGATTTCAAATTAAGAATATTCCACTAGGCAATGACTAGACCATTTGGTTCCTCAGAGTAATATTTGTATGTTGGCATTTTCTTATAACTGAGATGACCACAAATAATACTATATAACTCATCCTAATAGGGAGCCTTATACAATATTAATGGAGAACTGATCCTATAGGCAATATGTCTATAAATTTTATAAGAAGAAGAAGAAACTAACAGATTAAAATTGCAGTGTTGTAGATGTCACTATACAGTGGCTCAATCTTCCTGAACAATAATTTGATATAAAAGCAAAAGCCACAAGACTGTATATAACCTTTGACCCAGTAAGTCCTCTTGGAGGATAATGGCAAAGAAGAGAGAAGGGAAAGATAAACATTATAAACATTGCAACTCCATGACACAGTTAAAAGTGACAAGTCACTATGTTAATATATGAAAATGCTCACATACTTTATATGTGTATATAATATTTAGTAAAGACAAAATGATATGTACATGTGGATTATGACAATTTCACAGAATTAAAATTGATAATCTGAAAAGGTAAAATTAAATGCTCATTATATTTGCAATTATAGTACCTGTTATTGCCAATATTGGCAGTGCTTTTTAGACTGCTTTCATATATGTATATCACTTCATTTCATTTCAATAATTTCATTATTGTAGAATAGTAGCTGTACTCACCTTCCCATCTGGGAGCTCCATGTAACCTTCTATATCATTAGTGGCTGTTTTGCCAAATCGACCCAATGAACCCTGAAGCTTGAGGCCAGTGAATGTTAGAGCCATTTCCCAGAACCTGCCAACAAAAGAGCCTGAATGTACCTCAAAGAAATTTTATTTATTTTAATTTTAATATCATCCAAACATTTACATATTTCATAGTCACATATTATTTCATTTATCCATTCATTCAATGAAAATGTATTAAGTATCAACTACTTGTCAGGCAAAGTTCTAGGCAATATGAATTCGGCATCGAGCAAAATAGTCCAAAAAGAAAACATTCCATGCCTTTGCAGATCGTACATTTTAGAGTTGTGTTTTCCTATGCAATAGCCACACGTTTGACTATTTTAATTTAGACTTAAAGTAATTAACATTAAATAAAATTCAAACATCAGTGTTTCATTCAGACTGATCAGTTTCAAGTATTCAATGGCTACATGTGGCTACTGTCTACTAGATTGGCCAGCACAGAGCACCCCCACCCTAGCAGAAAGTTCTACCGCATAGTACCACTTTAGAGGATATAAACGTTTCCCAAAAGTTCTAATTTACTTGTTGTGTAGCTTTGAGTGATTTTCGTGATCACATTGTACTTTCATTCGCTCATGTGTAAAAGGAGAATATTATTTGCACCAACCTCATGAAATTGAAAAACTCTTTTAGAACAGTGCCTAGCACATAAGGTCAATAAATGTTAAGTTACCAATATTTTCTTATTCATAATCTAAACAAATCAATAGTCAGAGTGACGAAAAACCATGTAGATAAAAGAAAGAATCTGGCCTACCAACTGGATATAGAATAGATAATGGACAGTATCAAAAAGCCAATAATATGAAGCCAAGAGCCTAAATGACCAACACCCTTCTCCAAGGCTGTTGTAGGTCCCCTGATCATATGTTTCCATTTCCTCTGTTTCTTTTACAGCACACCACACATGAAATTGTTCAAGGTCTGTCTTTCCCCAAAGACATAGTACATAGAAAATATGCACTCTACGTATAGCACAGGGAGATCAGCTCGGTGCTTTGTGACCGCCTGGAGGGGTGGGATAAGGAGGGTGGGAGGGAGGGAGACGCAAGAGGGAAGAGATATGGGAACATGTGTATATGTATAACTGATTCACTTTGTTATAAAGCAGAAACTAACACACCATTGTAAAGCAATTATACCCCAATAAAGATGTTAAAAAAAAAGAAAATATGCACTCTAGTAAGCAATGGAAAAATTAGAATTTTTTAACCTATCAGCAGAGAGTCAGTTGACAATTCCCCCAAGATTTAAAAATCTGTTCAATTATTCTATATTTCAAAAGGACCAGACTTAAACTGGAATGAAAAGAATTTAAGATAGATTAAAAAAACCTCTTTCTCATAAAGAGACACTGGGAATCAAGTTAAGGGCAGCTCGAGAGTATTGCTAGAAGGTTGTTAAATAAAGGACAAAATCAATTCCATCCTGAACAAAGAACAAAGGGTATATAATATAGTGGAAAACACCCAGAGACCTGAGATCAAGAGTGGGCTCTGTTACCATTTAGTATTGAGGGTCCTGCATCAGGAATGGTTCTGTTATAATTCTTATTCTACAAGTGAAGACTGAGTTCAGAGACATCAAGATGACTTATCCATCTCACAGTATCACTACAACACATTGAACAGTGGATATGAAAGTTCAATATGAACTTGGACACAGCACGCCAATGTTAGTAAGACATTATACAAACTCTCTTAGGAAGTGAAGGCAGCAAGCAAAATTCAAAAGCCCTTCTTTTATCTATGCTGGTTTCAGTAATAAAATCTCCATACCCAACTAGAAAAGCTGCACTACAGTTAGTTTTTTAAATAACACATTAAAAAATTATCCTAATGTTAACAACATCAGCAAAAATGTCTCCAGCTGGTCAATCCTCTTAGAAAAGACCCTAACAATAAACGACTAGCACCTGTATCAGTCATGCAACCTACTTGATGTGGCCGGATCCCGATGTAGTAAGCTGCTCGTCATCTTCAGGATTGAAAGTAACCTTGAAAACTTCCTGGGAAAAAGCTTTTGTCCTCAGTAGGGGCTGCTCTTCTTTCCAATTCCAGATTGTCAGTGTGTGGTCAGGGTTGCCACCCACAGAGGCCAGCAAAGTACCATCGCAGTTAAAGTCTACACATGCATAGGCCAGATCAGTCCCATCTGAAAGGATGAAAAGATGAATGCAAGTCTAATGAACACGGACAGCACTTACTTCTCAAAAATGTATTAGTTAAATCAAAAAAAAGGAGAGAGGGCTTCCCTGGTGGCGCAGTGGTTGAGAGTCCGCCTGCCGATGCAGGGGGCGCGGGTTCGTGCCCCGGTCCGCGAAGATCCCACGTGCCGCGGAGCAGAAGGCCCGTGAGCCATGGCCGCTGGGCCTGCGCGTCTGGAGCCTCTGCTCCGCGGCGGGAGAGGCCACGGCAGTGAGAGACCCGCGTACCACAAATAAATAAATAAATAAAATTTTAAAAAGAGAGAGAGAGAGCACCCTTAGTGGTGTGCATTGGTGGAAGCATGCCAAGACTCCCCTAAAGAAACAATTCCAAAATCACTCATCACCCTTGGCTGTAGAATGAACTACATGATATGGGGGGAGCGGGGGAGGGTGAAGAAATCTTAATCACACTTTGCATGAGAAAAACACTTTGAGAATACATTCTACTTTATGAAGTGGGGAAGGGTGACACAAAAGCATATTAGACAGCAGAGAGAAATCAATTTAAAATCTGTCACTGAAAATTTCACGAAATAAAAATTGATGACTTCAGTTTTCTGGTTATGCATGTGAGGAGCTAAGAAATCACCATTCCATCCTAACAACAAGTAAAAAGCTGAACAGACTGAAAAATCAACAGCTCTTCTTGGATCTATACGAGAAGAAAGGAAACAGGGCAAACCCCTGCCCCCAAGAATGGAGAGACCACCAGGTAAATACAGGGATTTGCAACTCACCAGAGCAGAGGCTTCCAAGCAGCAACAGCCAGAACAGCTCAAGGAACCACTGCCGGTGAAGTAAAACACGAACTCTAACTGACGAATTGCTGGAGGCTCAGTGTGGACAAGTCTGAGAATTAAAAACTCCAGGGGGACCCAGTCATAAGGTGGCCCCAACAATATTGTGAGATTTACCTCCAGGAGTTGACCAGATTCCTAACGTAAAAATATCTAGAAAAATCCCCCCAGGCTTCCAACAGAAGGAGGGGAAAAGGAACCATTTTGACATACCGGAGAGCCTCTGTTCTTCTTAATAAGGTCTGCCCTCAGGGGAAACTAATTAACCAGAGCCTGACCGGCTGGAATGTTATCAGAGCTTAACTGACCTGGAGAAGGAAATATCCAACCCAGCCCACTCTAGCCATCCTGTCCTACCTAAGGGGGGAGAAAAATGCTGAGAAACATTTGTGAAGTTCACAGTCCAGAGGCATAGGCTCACCAAAAAAACCGAGACCTAATCCCAGGACTAGAGAATGCTTCCCCTGCCCCACACCTTACCATCAGGTGACTAAAGTCCTACTTAAGGCAGTTCTTTTTACCCAGTACATCATGTCTGGCTACCCAGAAAAAATTACAAGGCATACCAAAAAGCAAAAAAAGACAGTTTGAAGACACAAAGCATGCAGCACAACCAGACATGGCATAGATGTTGGAATTGTCATATTGGGAATTTAAAACAACTATAATTAATATGCTAAGGGCTCTAACAGATAAAGTAGACAACATAGAAAAGCAGATAGGCAATGTCAGCAGAGAGATGGAAATCCTAAGGAAAGAACCAAAAAGAAATGCTAGAGATAAAAAAAAAACAAAACACTGTAACAGAAATGAAGAATGCTTTTGATGGGCTCATTACTAGATTGGACACAGCTGAGGAAAGACTCTTAGCTACAGGATATCTCAATAGAATCTTCAAAAACCAAAAAGCAAAGAGAACAAAGACTGATAAAAACAGAACAGAATATCCAAGGGCTGTGGGACAAATACAAAAGGTGTAATGTATGTGTGGTGGGAATACCAGAAGGAGAAGAAAGAGGAGCATAAGAAATATTTAAACCAATAATGACTGAGAAATTTCCCAAATTAATGTCACACACCAAACCATGGATCCAGGAAGCTCAGAGATCACCAACCAGGATAAATGCCCAGAAACACTACAGAAAATGAAAGATACAGAAAAAAAATACTGGGGATAAAAGAAAAAGAGGGGGGACAAAAATCTTACCTAAAAAACACTAACCTAGAATTCTGCGCCCTGAAAAATTATCCTTCAAAGGTGACAGATAGGGCTTCCCTGGTGGTTGAGAGTCCTCCTGCCGATGCAGGGACGAGGGTTCGTGCCGCGGAGCGGAGCGGCTGGGCCCGTGAGCCATGGCCGCTGAGCCTGCGCGTCCGGAGCCTGTGCTCCGCAACGGGAGAGGCCACAACAGTGAGAGGCCCGCGTACCGCAAAAAAAAAAAAAGGTGACAGATAAAGACTTTCTCAGACCAACAAACACTGAGGGAATCTGTTGCCAGGAGACCTGCCTTGCAAGAAATGTTAAAAGAAGTTCTTTAGAAAGAAGGAAAATAATATGGGTCAGAAACTTGGATCTACATAAAGGAAGAGAATCAAAGGAGTAAATGAAAGTAAAATAAAACTTTCATTTTTCTTATTCTTGATTGATGTAACAGATAACTGTTCAAAATAAAAGCAATAATGTATTGATTATGTATGCTTATGTCTGTGTGTGTGTGTGTTATGTAAGTGAAATGAATGCTTATATATAAGCTTATATGTAACTGAAATGAATGACAGCAGCTAAAATGCCCCTTAATAGGTGAATGGGTACATAAGATGTAGTACATCCAGACAATGGAATATTATTGAGCACTAAAAAGAAATGGACTATCAAGCCATTAAAAGACAAGGAGGAAGCTTAAATGCATAGTACTAAGTGAAAGAAGCCAATCTGAGAAGGCTACGTACTGTATAATTCCAACTCTATCACATTTTGGAAAAGGCAAAACTATGGAGACAATAAAAGATCAGTGGTTGCCAGAGACAGTAGGGCAGTTATGAATAGACAGAGCACAGACGATATTTAGGACAGGCTTTGGGAAAACTCCTATTCAGAATACTGAATGATGTTATAATGATGGATATATGTCATTATACACTTGTCTAAATGAATACAGAACACCACAAGTGAACCCTAAGGGAAACTACGGACTTTGGGTAATTGTGACTGTTAACATCAACTCATCCTTGGTAAAAAATGTACCATTCTGATGAGTTATGTTGATAATGAGTAGGCTAAGCATGGGTGAGGGGAGAGGGTATGTGGGAATCTCTGAAACTTCCTCTCAATTTTATTGTAAACCTAAAAACTGCTCTGAAAAATAAAATCTTTTTTTAAAATTGACTACTGAAATTATATGGAAAACAGAATTGTAAGATAATTGTGATGGTAATTTTATGTGTCAACTTGGTTGGGCTATAGTACCCAGTTATTCAATTAAACACTAATCTAGATGTTGCTGTGAAGATAGTTTGTAGATGTGGTCAACATCTATAATCAGTTAAGATTATCCTTGGTAACCTGGGTGGGCCTCATCCCATCAGCTGGAAGCACTTAAAGCAGAACTAAGGTTTCCCTGAGGAAGCAGAAGTTCTGCCCTTAGATGTAGAATCAATTCCTTCCCAAGAATTTCCAGCCTGCTAGCCTGCCCTACAAACTTCAGATTTGCCAGCCCTCGTAATTACGTAAGCCAGTTCCTTCAAATAAATCTCTCATCTGTCTCCCACCAGCTGTGTTGCTCTGGAGGACCCTGACTGCTACAATAATGTTACATGTTCAAAATGTTGTTGACCTTAAACGTGAGATATTTTAAAGATTCTACTAGACTCACCTTGAAGTATTCTGTAGGGCCTCAAAGAAGGATATTCATAAATGATAATCTTTGGGAAAACTCCTTTTTCTGCTACTGTGAAGTAAGTTTTTTGGGGGTGAACCTATAAAAGATAAAATCTCACTAAAGCACTGAAAGGGAGATTATCATATAAATCACTCAGTTAATACAGTATTTAGCATCTGTTACTTTATAATTTGTTTATTAGGATCCATTCTGATAGAAAACTCAAAACTCGGCATCTAATAAATACTTGACAATGGATATAATTTAAACTGAAAACTAGAAGAATACTCATTTTAAGTTTTACTTTCATTAAGAGAGTCATGTCTTAACTCTACAATTGTTTAAATTGCCATCAGAAGAGCTAGAACAGTGGTTCCCAATCTTTAGCAGGCATCAGAATCGCAGGCAGGGCTTATTAAAGCACAGATTGCAAGCTTTAACACTAGAGTTTCTGATTCAGTAAATTGGGGCTGGGACCTGATATTCTGCATTTACATTTCTAACAATTTCCCAGGTGATGCTGAATCTGGGGACCACTCTTTGAGAACAACTAAGTTAGATGAATTGCTTACCCTGCGTTTGGTGTTTTGCTTTATTTTTAATGGAGACCTAGGACAAGCAAGACATCTACTTACACTCAACACATAAATTCACCCTGTCTTTTCTGGAAGAGAGCTTATATCCTCCAAACCACATTTCTCATGGCTTTCTCATAGCCTCACAAGAGCATTTCTCATCCACAAATGGATAACTATTTCAGAAAAATTGAAGTGACATGGGCAGTGGAGGAAGGTCCCTGTCACTGTCTGGACACCAGCAAGCCCCAGCACACACGGAGAAGAGCCCCACCGACACACAAGCGCTCAGGGTTCAGGAGGGTGAGGTTTAGGGTTAGCATTCTTGTTCACACTACACCCCTAACTACTGACCTCAAACCAAATTATCGTGCCACAAAATAGAAAAACAGACATTTCAAAACTATTGTTGGCCACAAAGTGATAGAAAAATAAGCAGGCTAGATGTTGCTCAGCCCTCTGCAGATGCGGGGGGACCTCAGGGCTCATGGTACTTTGAGATGGTCCCGACCAACTTCCTCCACAGAGCCTTCATGTCGGGCCCGTGAATATTTGCAACAGCTGGTGCCACGGTAGCATGTACTTGTGTATATATACCTAACTTTTTGGTTTTGCCTCTTTATTTATTTTTTTTTAATTGGCCGTGCACATGACTTGCGATTTCTTAATTCCCCGACCAGGGATTGAACCCGCGCCCCCTGCAGTGGAAGCGTGGAGTTCTAACCACTGAACCACCAGGGAATTCCCAGAGAGGCGCCTTTTAAAGTGAGAACAAGTTGATTTAGTATGCTTTTATGCTGAGGATGCCTAAGGAAGTAAAGGCTGAAGATACAAGAAAGAAAACGACTGATGGAGACAGACACCTGAGGAGGAATGAAGAGACAGACTCGAAATCACACACAGATCTTTTTGTCAACTGTTTGAAACTACTGAATGTACAATTTATGCTTCATTTCCTAATGTTCAACTCTTTTATCTGGCACTTAGCTTTAATTATTATGTGAATTATCATTTGTGTTATTCATCTCAGTATTTTTGCAGAATAGCAGCATAGCATTTACTGTGAAAAACCTGCATGACTACGGGAAAGTCACTCAACCTCTATTAGCCCCAGTTTCCTTATCTGCAAAATGAGATGATAATATTATTAATATAATATTATAATATTGCATGGAGCTAATGTCAGTGAACGTAGTGGTTGTCATCGTGAATTGAAAATACCTTAGAATAAAGACTGCTGTGCATCTCATGTAATCCCTCCTCACAGCCTGGCTGGTCCACAGAACAAACAACACATGGATGGATTTTTGTTTTCTAAGTTACTAAAGGCATACCCCAATGACACCAATTCCCCTGCCACTGCTGCTTCGCAGGTAGGTCTGTTCCTTGGTTTTCAAATTCAGAAGGATCAGCTGGTTCCCAGCTACGTACAACACCATATTGCTGTCCAGAAGTTGTAGGTTGGCCCGCTTTCTGCAGTCATAACCAAAGGAATGTCTGAGGGAAAGTTGCAAAGGAAAACAAGTGAAACAACATGACCATCCTAGAGAGGGGAAAAGTAATGAAATGAATATATTTTTAAAACCCATACCCTTAGTTAGATAAAGATCCGGGGTTGAAGTAGTTGAATTTTATGCTGAAACTCAGAGTTATTTACTGTATTACTAACGTAATCTTGTTTTTAAATTAGGTGAAAATTCTCATACTCTGATTCAGTCTTTTAGTTTTCCTAGGAAAACCCTGAGAGCACATTAATTTTGTTTGCAATAAAAAATAAACGTTCTATTTGGGTACTATAGAGAGCAAAGTAGTCCCCTAAATAATTTCATTTTCCTCTCTCCTGCTAAAACTAAATCACATTATAACGTGAGAGAAAGTCTGTCTTTGCCATCTTTGTACTCCCAAAGCCTGTCCAGTCTGTTGACTGAACATAGTAAAAGGATCATGTAGGCCTCTTCCTTGATGCTGAAAGACAAGATGTTTAAAATTCTGACACGTTTGTGAAATTCTGACACACCAGTGACAGTGTGACTACTGTAATAAATTCACATAAATATAATTGAAATTTAACCATATGAAAATTATAAAAATTGACTAAATAATATATAAGTATATAAAATAAATAGGCTAACATTTCCTTTCCAAGATCATTGGTATGTACGGGTGTGCAGATGCGTATATACGTGTGTGTGCGTTTATGCTATAGAGTAAAACTGCATTAATTCAAAACAGATTAAAAAAACTGAGCTATAAAACATTTTTTAAGTGTACTTTGTTATTACGTTCAAGCTCAAATTAATATAACCCAAGATATAAGTGTAATAATTAAATGAGATCAACCTATTAAAAAATTAGAGTTTGCCAAAGATATATATCATGTAGTGTATCTTAAGTAGATATATTCTTATTTTCCAAGAATTCATTGCTGAACACAAAAGTTGAAGGATCACTGGAGCAATCCTTATTTCTTGAGCCCTTGTTTTTGTTTTGTTTTTTCAGTCTGATTTTAGACGATTCCCCTTATTTGTAAGTAAATATTTTCAGAGAAAGAAATTATACAAAAGTTTTAACAAGAACGATATGTAGAATGTAAAAAAGGAAGAGCAAATTTTAATTAATGCAATTTGAATTGTGAAGAATATATAAATTATAACTAACTACAAGTAACTATACCTATCTCACTGCCTCATAGTTAAATTGAAAAAAGAGAAAGAGAACATTTCAGGGCATTTGTACAAGAAAAAGGAGTTTTATAAATTTAAAAGACATTAATGCCTAAAATTGAATCTTATATAGAAATGCAAATGAATATGTGATCCAAGATCTAGATGAAGCTATTCGGCCCTCATGGAGAATACCTGGGGCTGCCTCACAAATAAAGAGTAGAGTCTACAGCCCCTTATCTTTACAGAGCCTGGTATGGGGCAGGAAGTTTTGCCTACCCTCTTTTTCCCTCTCCCTAAACTACTGTTCTCACCTTTCCTTCTTCCTTCTCTCCTTTCCCTTTTCCCAGGTGCCAGTGTAATACTCTAAAGGGCTAGAAGAATGTCCAACTATGAGGGTAGAAGCGGGCTACCATCCCTTCACTAACTTGGATGACAGCAGGGAATCGGAGACATGATCATTTATCTAATATTATCATCTGTAATTTCAGGGGGAAACTCCCTCTTACTTGCTGCTGTTTTGATTGAAGGCCCTTTCAAATGCAGAAATGGGTTAGATTGTAGCTTGCCAAACACTTTCCCTCTAAATCAATCACAACCTGCTTGAGGGCAGAGACTGCTTCTCATTCATCTGTTTCCTAGAATGCCTGCCACAGTCTTGAGCCTATTCGGTTGAATGAACGAATGAATGAATAACTAGAGTCTGATCTTTTCCTTTTAACCCCAGAGGACAAGGCAGTCCCTAAGCAGAGCTCTGAAAATGTTAAAATGTATTCTGACGTACCTTCACCTCCCTTCTGTTTTATCTCACCCTCCCTTTTGGCACCTATTCTTAACTTCCTATCAGAGGCCCAGGGCCTTCGCTGTTTGTCCATGTCCATCTAGAACCTCCACTTTAAAGTGGTGTTTAAACACTGTCTTAAGGGCTGTTTAGTGTCTTCTATAAATTATGCTGTGGTTTACGTGATATTTTATAAATTATACTTTCTTGATTGATTTAGAAGACACAAATGTTAAAACTGAAGTAGATGAAGAATTAAAAGGGTATATGGGGATACATGAGAGCAGACTTCTTACAGCTTCTCACAAGAAACAGAGATTATATTTTTTCATCTCTAGAGAGTAGGGCTAAGTCTAACGCAGGACATTCCAGAAAGGCAGATTGTAATTCAAGGCCTGGAGGAGCTCTCTAATAATGTAAGCTATTCAAAAATGGGATAAGCTGCTTTGTGATTGCCCTGCTTTTGAAAGTGTTCAAGTCCATAGCTTATACAGCCACTCCTCCAGCATGAGTAGAAAGTATTCATGCACTGAGCCAAACGTCAAGATCGCTCTGACTCCCTTATTTACAGGCTAGGCATATCTCTCTAATACAGAGATCCTTGTATTCAGGAGCACCAAATCCCCAGTGTTGAGAGCTGGGAGAAGGCAGCACAATAAAAATTACCCGAGAAGCTTTTTCAGAGTACATATATACCCAAGCCCCTCTCCACGTGGAAATAATGCAGTAGGTCCAGGAAGCTATCAGAGCACGTGCATTTCAGGAAAAGCTTCTAGGTGACTAATAAACCACTTCATTTGAAAAAAATCGACTAGAAGGCCAACAGCATAACTTTTATCAGTAACCTGTCCAAAGGCCACAAAGGAAAAAAAAAAGGCCCTCAAGAGAGAAAACTCCAGGTTACAAATTTCAGGGTGAATTAGTTTTAGTTACACCTGGGATCGAAATAAAGTTAGAAGATATAATAACAATAACATGTTCTATTTTTACATAAAAAGCAAAACTGAGTCAGGAAGTACACTGCCCTTCCCCTCTCAGCACCCCTTTTATAAGGGGCCAGTCAGTGTCTGGGCCATGCGGTCATAACCACTGCCCTTCTGAGGGTAGGCATGCTAAATTGCTAACCAAGGGCCTTAATGGAAATTGTCTCCTAACTAGCACCTCACAAACCTAACATCATAAAGTGATGGCAAACCCTAAATCCCCTTGTTAATCATCCCACTTTTACTTTTCTTCACAGACTTTTATTCTTCTATTAAAATGGGTTATATTGTGCCCACTTCCTCAGGGCTGTCTTCTCTGTAACTCATCTGGTAAATAATGCGAAAGCAGTAATGCCTGACAATGGCCATGTCAGCGTTTCAAGCAGGGAGATCAATGATTTTAACTTAACAGGCATTGAAGAAGGGGTGCCAATCTGGTAGAGATAAATGGGGATAAGAGGCCTCCTGGTCTCCTTCACATCACATCTCCTGAAAGGACAGCCAGAAAAGCACTATATCTCTTTATGGTTATTTGGCATCTAACAAAAGCCAGCAAAAGCGTAGTTTAAATTAAGATCAAGCATTTCTATCTTAAGCTTCTTAGAATTACCTAAGATAGGGGTTGGCAAACTGTTTTTGTAAAGGGCCAGGTAGTAAATATTTTAGGCTTTGTGAGCCAGATGATTTCTGTTGTAACTACTTAAATCTGCCCTTGTAGTGTGATGGCAGTCATAGACTTCATGTAAATGAATGGGCATTGCTGTGTTCCAATAAAACTTTATTTAGGGAAAAAGGCCAGAGGCCAGATTTGGTCCATAGGCTGCAGTTTGCCAACCCCTGACCTAAAAAGCTGAAATTCCAAGATTATACATATGTAACTGGAGTGGATACACAAGTGTAAGAAGATCCAGCGGTATGTTTGAATCCGGAGTCACAAAAGGCATCGAAGCAAGCTCCATATAATCGTAGAAGAAGCTTTCTGATATTTTCTTCTTAACTTCCTCCTCTGCCTCTTCTGCATCTGGGACAGGAGTTTCCATGTACTGAGATTCTAAAAATTAAAAATATTTTAACTAAGAAGAGTGTCTGGTCAATCCTAAAATCGTATTTCATGAAGACAGGAGGAATGTACATAGCCCATAATACTCTAGCAGTAACTACTACTTCTGGCCTGGACATAGGATGCCACCCACAAGTGAGCATGGAAGAAGAGGCAACACGCCTGTGTGCATTGGGGTGAACGCCTAGCCCTGCATGGTTCCGACAGTCTCAAAGAACAGCGCACGGTCAGTTCTAAGGGAGAGTTAGTCTCACTAATGTGGGATAGATCAATCCTTAGACAATCCCACTCCCCAGAAAAACTGAGTATGAGAGTATGTGATACTCAGAATACACAACTCCAGAGCTGCTAAAGCACCCTATCAGGATATGTTTGATGCTCTTTCTTTTATCACCTCCACACTTCCTGCAACCATTTCTTTTATGGATTTACAACTGTTCAGTTAAAACAGTGACAAGTACTGATAGAAAACTAGTAATACTTACTTCCAATGCTTTCCACATAATCATCTTGAAATGAACTTGAACTTCCTTCCAAATGTTCCACATAGGATTCATCGTCCCCTAAATATGATTCTTCCACTTCAGTAAATGTTTCGCCTGTGGTATCTACAACAGATTTGTAATCCTCTTTCATAGTGGCTATAAAAAACAATTTGTTTTAATAATTTCTAAATTTGAATTAAATAATTTCTAAATTTGAATTAAACATTGTCTTAAACATTAAATAATTTCTAAATTTGAATTAAACATTTCTTATTTCCAAAGTACCTAATACTTCCAATTCGTTTGTGCTCTAAACTGAATGAATTTTAAACTCAAAAATTGCTACAAAAATCATTTATTTGGTCACTCTTGCAGCTTTACAAAAAATTTTTAAAGCTTTTCCTGTGAGTAAATCTCCATTTTCACTTCATTTGCAGTCTATTTCCTACCACTGCACGCTTACAAGAAAGTAAAGGATAAAGAAAAAGAGATTTGCTAGTATGTTGCTATCATTTTTTCAGTTCAATTTCACTTGAACAACACGTTATTTATAAGGACCTTTTATGTCAAAGATAAATAACGCATATTCAAGAATAAACTCCTCTGGGTATGACTATGTCTGAGTGATATCCTAGGAATACATCAGACTATTTGCTTCAGGACAAGCTAGAAGAGAAAAAGAATTGGAATGGGAGTAGAATAGACCTAGGTATAAGCCAACATTCAGATCAAGTCCAAACATGGCTATTGTTCACATATACCATGTCCAGCAGGTGAAAGGGCTGGATGAACTTTCAGAATAATAAGGCAGAAATGGTAAGTATGTCAGAAACAGAGTAGAACCACCTAGTAGGTCTATCTGAGATGAGGCTAAAAGAAGAGGAACAAGGCCCAAGACTAACTTGAATGAGGTGAGAAAGCTGGGCCAATCCAATTAGCAGAATAAGAGGACAGGGTTCTGTAGGATTCATGCATTTGGATGGAAAGAAAATAATCCTGGACACCTAAATGGGGCCCACTTCTTGAACTCCCCTAGGGGAGAGCCCTGGGTAAATATTCTCCAGTAATACCATTTAACAGATTTCTTAGCTCTTTCTTGTGACTGTTGCAATCAAACATTATATCCCAATCTCAAGATTAGGATATTATCTGCTGGCCTGCCTCTCTCTGGGAACAGAGTTCAAGCTGCCATTAGATGAGTTCAGGCTGCCAGCTAGGATGAGGGAATCACTGATAAAGGAATCAGAAGTGAATATGAATGAAGGGGAGTAAATCATTTTTCTAAAAATGAATATTCTGAGCCTGGTTGAAGGGTTGTGCCACTGAGAGGAAAAGTGGAGTTTGGAAAAAAACTAATTTAACAGGAAGTAGACACATTAAATCAGACTGGCAAAGCAGCAGATCTTAGCAACTTGGTGAGAACAAAGATTTCTATACTTTTTATAATCCCAAAATAGACAGGTGGAAGGATTATGGTTTGATGTACAAATCAGCATTTGTCTTTCTATTCTTGGAAATAATCTAAAATCAACACTGAAAATGAAAGCCAAAATTACAAATGCCATTTTTTGTAGAACTAGAAGCTGCTAAAACCTCAAATCAGAAATGGATGGCAGGGCTGGCTGGTGGAAGGGTTGGCAAAATTAGTGGACACTGAACAAGGATGAGTGCAGGAGGAAGCAAAGGGAGGTAACCAAGGCGAGGAGACACCATAGCCACAGATCTCAAAAAGAGCCAGCTGAAAGTTTGTTTTATGACCAAGGATTTTTATTAATTAATTAATTAATTATTTTGGCTGCACCAGGTCTTAATTATGGCAATCTTAATTAAGATCTTCGTTGCAGCATGTTTAGCTGCACCATGCGGGATCTTCGGTTGTGGCATGTGGGCTCTTAGTTGCAACATGGAGACTCAGTTGTGGCATGCGGACTTCTTAGTTTTGGCATGCATGTGAGATCTAGTTCCCCAACCAGGGATCAAACCCAGGCCCCCTGCATTGGGAGCACCGAGTCTTACCCACTGGACCACCAAGGAAGTCCCTGACCCAGGATTTTATAGGTGAGTTTCCTCAGCTTTTTCTTCCCTCTAGCCAATAGAAATATGAAGCTGTGGTGCCTCTCCTCACCAGCTGCCACAGAGGCAGGCTGCCTCCTGCAAATACAGCTTGCCTCTCTGGTCCTTGTTTACCTCCACCTCCTTTGTGAGATTGGGAACACAATGAGGAAGTCTGCAAATGATGTGACTGTGCACATAGAACATCCATAAGGACTCCCTATAATTATTACAATTTTTAAAAGAGTTTTGCATGGTTACTACATACAAAAACAATATACAAAAATTAATAATTGGGACTTCCATTTTGGCCATGATGAAGTAACCATGATGGAGTACCAGACTGTTCTCCTACTACAATTTTGGAATTATTTAGTTCTCCCTTTAATTCTATTTTTCTTCATGTATTGTGATGCTCTGTTATTAGATGCATACATATTTATGATAGTTATGTCTTCCTAATGTATTGTTCCTTTTATCATCGTGAAATGTACTTCTTTGTCACAGAGAGTACTCTTTGTCTTGAAATCTATTTTATCTGATATTAATATAGTCACTCCAACCTTCAAATGCTTACTGTACGCCTACTATATCTTTTTCCATCAATTTACTTTTAACCTATTTGTATCATAATACTTAATGTGTGTCTCATGCATCATATAGTGGGTTCTTGCTTTTATTATCCATTCTGATAATCTGTACCTTTTTACAAGACTTATTAATCCATTAATATTTAATATAACTATTGGTATAGTTGGATTTTGATTTAACATTTAATTATTTATTTTCTGTTTGTGTGCTTCCCACTCTTCCATTTTCCCTCTATTTCTTCTTTCCTATTTTCTGTTAGACCATTTATTGTTATTCTTCTAGACTATTTATTCTTTAAAATTCCATTTTAATTTCTGTTAGCTTTTTAACTACTTTTCTTTGTTTTTTAAATAATTGCTTCAGAGATTATAATATTTATCCTTTACTTCTCACAGTCTACTTAGTTAATATTACAGTAATACACATCTTTCATCAACTGATGGAACAACCAGTCTGAAACTCCATAAGATATGATGATCTGAAAAACACTATCAAACATCCCCACCTGATATTGAAAAAACACTACACCTACACATTCAAAGGCACATGGGCCATTTACCAAGAGAGATCACTTGCTGGAGCGTAAGACAAGTTTTAATAGCTTTTAAAAGATTGAAATAATACAAAATATGCATATTCTCTGATTACAACAGTAGTAAATTAAAAATAAATTACAGGGGAGCGGAGGGGAAGATGGCGTAAGAATAAGACACGGAGATCACCTTCCTCCCCACAGATACACCAGAAATGCATCTACACGTAGAGCAACTCCTACAGAACACCTACTGAATGCTGGCAGAAGACCTCAGACCTCCCAAAAGGCAAGAAACTCCCCACGTACCTGGGTAGGGCAAAAGAAAAAAAGAAAAAACAGAGACAAAAGAATAGGGACAGCACCTGCACCAGTGGGAGGGAGCTGTGAAGGAGCAAAGGTTTCCACACACTAGCAAGCCCCTTCGCGGGCGGAGAGTGCGGGAGGCGGAGGGGGGAGCTTCAGAGCCGCGGAGGAGAGCACAGCAACAGGGGTGCGGAGGGCAAAGCGGGGAGATTCCCGCACAGAGGATCGGTGCCGACCAGCACTCACCAGCCCGAGAGGCTTGTCTGCTCACCCGCCGGGGTGGGCGGAGCTGCGAGCTGAGGCTCGGGCTTTGGTAGGAGGGCAGGGAGAGGACTGGGGTTGGCTGCATGAACACAGCCCGAAGGGGTTAGTGCACCACGGCTAGCCGGGAGGGAGTCCGGGAAAAGGTCTGGAGCTGCCGAAGAGGCAAGAGACGTCTTCTTCTCTCTTTGTTTCCTGGTGCGCGAGGAGAGGAGATTAAGAGCGCTGCTTAAAGGAGCTCCAGAGACGGGCGCGAGCCGCGGCTAAAAGCACGGACCCCAGAGACGGGCGGGAGACGCTAAGGCTGCTGCTGCCGCCACCAAGGGGCCTGTGTGCGAGCACAGGTCACTATCCACACCCCGCTTCCGGGGAGCCTGTGCAGCCCGCCACTGCCAGGTTCCCAGGATCCAGGGACAACTTCCCCGGGAGAACACACGGCGGGCCTCAGGCTGGTGCAACGTCACGCCGGCCTCTGCCACCGCAGGCCCGCCCTGCACGCCGTGCCCCTCCCTCCCCCGGCCTGAGTGAGCCTGAGTCCCCGAATCAGCGGCTCCTTTAACCCCGTCCTGTCTGAGCAAAATACAGACACCCTCCGGCGACCTACACACAGAGGCGGGGCCAAATCCAAAGCTGAGCCCCTGGGAACTGTGAGAACAAAGAAGAGAAAGGGAAATCTCTCCCAGCAGCCTCAGAAGCAGCGGATTAAAGCTCCACAATCAACTTGATGTACCTGCAACTGTGGAATACATGAATAGACAACGAATCATCCCAAATTGAGGAGGTGGACTTCGAGAGCAAGATCTATGATTTTTTCCCCTTTTCCTCTTTTTGTGAGTGTGTATCTGTATGCTTCTGTGTGAGATTTTGTCTGTATAGCTTTGCTTCCACCATTTGTCCTAGGGTTCTATCCGTCCGTTTTGTTTTTAAATTCTTTTCTTAACAATTAATTTTAATTTTAATAACTTTATTATACTTTAACTTCTTTCCTTCTTTCTTTCTTTCTTTCTTGCTTGCTTTCTTGCTTTCTTTCCTTCCTTCTCTCCTTTAGACAACGAATCATCCCAAATTGAGGAGGTGGACTTTGAGAGCAAGATTTATGATTTTTTCCCCTTTACCTCTTTTTGTGAGGGTGTATGTGTATGCTTCTGTGTAAGATTTTGTCTGTATAGCTTTATTTCCACCATTTGTCCTAAGGTTCTATCCGTCCCCTTTTTTTCCTAAATAATTATTTTTTAATTTAATAACTTTATTATAATTTATTTTATTTTACTGTATCTTCTTTCTTTCGTTCTTTTTTCCTTCTGTCCCTCCTCCTTCCCTCCCTCCCTCCTTTCTTTCCTTCTTTCCTTCTTTTCTTCTTTCTGTCTTCCTTCCTTCCTTCCCTTCTTTCTTTCTTTCTTTCTTTCTTCCTTCC